TTTATGTAACGAACTGAAGATTCATTTATTCTGTAATGGAGCCGACAGAGCAGAGTCCTGCACGGTTCCATTTTTGCCAGTACAACACCGCACCTGCAGTACAACACCGCACCTGCCAGTACAGGACCGCACCTGCCCATTAACCCGAGATTATATCAAGCTTTTGCCTCACAGACTGAACCAGGACTGAACACTGCAGACACAGGACTGAACAGACTGAACCAGGACTGAACCAGGACTAAACCTGACTGAACCAGGCTGAACCAGGACTGACCAGACAAACCAGGACTAAACCACTGAACCAGGAACCAGGACTAAACCAGGACTGAACCAGGACTAAACCAGGACTGAACCAGGACTAAACCAGGACTGAACCAGGACTGAACCAAACCAGGACTGAACCAGACAACCACTAACCAGGACTGAACCAGGACTAAACCAGGACTGAACCAGGACTGAACCAGGACTAAACCAGGACTGAACCAGGACTGAACCAGGACTAAACCAGGACTGAACCAAGACTGAACCAGGACTGAACCAGGACTAAACCAGGACTAAACCAGGACTAAACCAGGACTAAACCAGGACTGAACCAGGAGAACCAACTGACTGAACCAGGACTAACCAGGACTGAACCAGGACTGAACCAGGACTAAACCAACAGGACTGAACCAGGACTGAACCAGGACTGAACCAGGACTAAACCACTGAACCAGGACTGAACCAGGACTGAACCAGGACAAACCAGGACTAACCAGGACTGAACCAGGACTGAACCAGGACTGAACCAGACTAAACCAGGACTGAACCAGGACTGAACCAGGACTAAACCAGGACTAAACCAGGAACCAGGACTGAACCAGGACTGAACCAGGACTGAACCAGGACAGACTGACTGAACCAGGACTGACTAAACCAGGACTAAACCAGGACTGAACCAGGACTGAACCAGGACTAACCAGGACTAAACCAGGACTAACCAGGACTGAACCAGGAACCAGGACTAACCAGGACTAAACCAGGACTCTGAACCAGGACTGAACCAAGGACTAAACCAGGACTGAACCAGGACTGAACCAGGACGAACCAGGACTAAACCAGGACTGAACCAGGACTAAACCAGGACTAACCAGGACTAAACCAGGACTGAACCAGGACTGAACCAGGTGACCGCAGGGACCGATGCAGAGCTCCACACCTCACAGAGTTAAACGCGGCAGTTGCCTGATCGAGCTTTGCAGACAAACTGCTCGGCGTTTTCTCTCTTAAGTCCAAGATTAGTCCTGGTTTAGACCTGGTTCAGTCTTGACCCACCCATGTGTTAAAAAAAAAAAATCTGTGAACTGCGATATAGTGAGGGACGACTGTAGCTCAATGTGGAGGCCCCACCTCCCGCCCCCGTGAGGTGTCCGGGTTTTTACAAATGGAAATATGATCTAAAACAGAATCCCTCTACATATGTCGTCAACACAGAAAAGCTTTTAACAAACTTTTTGTCTAAATATTGTTTAATTTAGACTCGTTTTGGGTCTTGTTTACATTATGGTTGCTGGGTAACAGTTATGGAAGCAGCCCAAGTGGGAAATAAAATTATAAACTTCAGGCGAAACTAGAGAAGATGTTTAGTAAAATCTCAGATATAATGATTTGAATTAAAGGAAGTGCTCTGTGTGAAGCTCTGCAGGCTGTATTCACGCTTACTGAACATGGAAACATGCGGATGACGACGTCCGGTGTCGTTTCAGACTCTGGGCCTGTGATAAAACACAATACACACAATACAACCTGACATTTCTTTTATTTATTCATATATTTAGTTAGATAAATTATAATACGCAAATTAATAGGCAATTTATTAAAGGAAGAAAGAAAGAATCAGAAATCTGTTTTTCCAGATTTTGTGTTACTATCGACTAGGGATGGGCATGATTAATCGATTAATCGATAATTGATCATTAAGAATTTCATCAATTACGTTCATTTTAATCGACAAACTGAATGTATGTTTGTGTGTCGTGACCAAACAGGTGTGTACATGTGTCTCTGCATCAGAAGGAGCGAGACACAAACAGTGGGTCAGTCTGTAACGAACCGAAGCACAAATGTGGATTTAACCAGGATTTGTAGAAGAAATTCCACACTTTCCGTTGCGTTGGGACAAGTGTGAGTCCATGTGCACAGTGGATAAAGCAGCACATATGTTTCTGTGTCCAGTGGGAAAAAGTTTTTCCAGGTGAGAGTCGCTCAATGTGGATGACGAGGCCCCGCCCCCCTCCCCCCGTACGCTGTCCTGGTTTTGACAAACACAAATCTGGTCACACTGACCTGTATTCACCTGAGTCATGTCTTTTAATCCAACACAAGTTGAACCACATCAGCGACACAAGAGCTGGAGTTTTATCTTCACTTAGTTTATGTAAATTAGTGATGTGGTTTTAAGTTTTGTTTCTGTGAGATTTGAACAAAACTGAATTAAACACATTATAATGTCAAACAGCTGATGTGGATCTAGAGTCGTTATGTTTATATGTCGTAAAGTTGAATTTGTTTATGCAGATTAGTGCAGATAGTAATAATAATGATGATCATTTTAATATAAAAACGTTAATGATTAATCGATAATCGATCATTAATTCTTCCGACGATCGATTAAGAAAATTTCATTGAATGCCCGTCTCTAGTGTCGAGCTTTGGTTGACATGGTGAGTCCGACTCCAAATCAGGGACGAGTATCCAGTGATGTAGCGATTTTATTTTCCAGAAGAAGGAGAAGAAATAGAAAAATCTACACCGCGTCATTAGTGGAGAGTAAATATAAACAGACCACAACTGCTTTTATGTTATAAATACACTAAAGTCTCTCTCGACCGGGAAAACAAGACACTCACCGACCGCAGCGACTCCCTGGACACGCGTCATGTACTTTTCTCCTGTTGGTTCGCGGCGTCCAAGACCTCGAGGGCGTCTGAACCACAGACTGTTTATATATTATATTTTATATTTTATCAGCCAAACCTCCTTGTCAAAGTCTGATCTGGTCACATCTCAGAAGCTCAGCAGGGCAGGGCCTGGTTAGTACTTGGATGGAGACACTGGGAAAATCAGGAGCCACAGGAGGCGCCAGAGGCAAAAACTGTTGTTGTGTCCTTAGGCAAGACACTTCACCCACATTGCCTTGTATGAATGTGGTGTGTGTGAGTGTTGGTGGTGGTCGGAGGGACAGTTTTTCAGTCGTCACTCTCACCTTTTATTGAAACTCAAACTAAATAGGAGTTTCGCACTAGAGCTGGTATCATTAACAAGTTGCCGATACGATACATTCCTCGATACACAGGCCACGATACGATACATATCATGATACAGTGCACTTTCGATTCAATATGATATATTTCAAATCGATTCGATACGGTTCAATAAAAAACAAAGTCTAAATCATGTCTGTGATACTAAAAATCTTTGTTAAACCATTTCTTGTGCAAAGTTCATATGAAACACAAACATTTTAATCGTCAAAACAGTAAAAATGTCAAATATGTTGCATAAATGAGTTTCCTTTCACTCCACAAGCAACAAAACTGTAGCTCTGGAACAAAATAATTTAGTAAAACACACCTAAAAATACTCTTGGTGAAATATCGATACAGCAGCCCACGATATCGATACTGTATCATCACATTAAACGATACGATATATCGATATTCCGATATTTTTGCACACCTCTATTTCGCACTGATCACAGGCTCCTGGAGATGTGCTTTTTAAATCCATTTTGTTGAGTTTTGTTTGAGTTTTAGATTCTTAAACCATCTTAAAGTTTCCGACAGTGTTTGCTGACGTGTACATTCTGTCTCCATGGTAACAGTTGATCTTTCGACCATAGACATGCATGTATAACCCCTGGGTCTTTAAAATAACGTTCCTGTCTTGCTTCTCGCAGACTTTGCGGTTGCCATGACGAGCGAGGAGGAGGAGGGGCCTGTCGTTGCCACGCCCACCGCATCATCACCGCGCGCCCGGGTCTCTGCGCCACAGCTGCCCCGGGGCGACTCGCGCGGCACACACGGCGCCACTTCCTCCTCCCGAAACGCGCACAAGAGACACACGCCCGCGGACGACGGCGACGAGGAGGAGGAGGAAGGGGCGGGGCCACAGGACAATCAAGGTAACCATGACAACACCACGACTACATACGGTCGTTCATCTGTGATGTCGTTTAAACGTCACAAACACACGGACAGAGTTTAGTTTCATTCACACGTTTAACGCACAAACCTGAAGGTTTAGGTCGAGTTCATCTGTGTGTCGTTCGTTCATTCGTTTTTCAAAATAAAACTAAAACTGAACTGAACCAGGACTGATCCAGGTCTGGGACCAGACCGGGACTGAGACCGGGACCGGACCAGGACCAGACCGGGACCAGACCGGGACTGACACCAAGACCAGACCGGGACTGAGACCGAGACCAGACTGGGACTGAGACCGAGACCAGACTGGGACCAGACCGGGACCAGAGCAGGACCAGAGCAGGACCAGAGCAGGACCAGAGCAGGACCAGACCGGACTCCGAGCTTTGACTCTGAGCCTCCGCGGGGTCCAAGCCTCAGCTTCGAGCTCCGGCCCTGCCGTGGGCTCTGAGCCTCCGGTCTGGTCCTGGTCTGGTCCCGGTCTGGTCCCGGTCTGGTTCTGGTCTGGTCCTGGACCTGGATCAGTCCTGGTTCAGTTCGGCATCGCAGTCACAGAAGTCACGTAAACATAAACGGTCGTTATCCGTTTTTACCATTTTTCATTTAAACACAAAATCGAAAGTGAAAAAACAGATCTTTATCTGTTTTTTCCTTTTGGTTTTGGAGACAAATAACGAAGAAAATCTTTGTTTTTTCATGTTCTTATTTTTGGTTTTATCTTGAAAAACGAATGAACGAACGACACACAGATTCAGAATCTTCACACCTGATTTCTGTCTCTTTTTTTTTTGTTCCTTGTTCATCAAATAAGAGACGATGGCCTTTCAAAAGTGTTTAACCACAACATTTATCAAATAAAGTAACAATAATCCATCTTAACATAGGATTACCAGTGTTTATGTTTCACTAACGGCCGGTCGTCTTTATCGTTATCTTAGCCTCACCAAGCGTCAAACCACTTCAGTCTGAGATGAACTGTCACAAAAAAACTGTAAACTGTTGATAGTTTAGTTTGTTTTTGTTTCGTTTGTGTGACTGAATCGCTCTTTTCTCGTGACAGGTTTAGAGGACGGGCCCATACAGGAAGTGGACTTGCACATACAGGACATACAGGAAGTTGACGTGGATCCGGCGGGACGCGAGGCGGACGACAGCAGCAGCAGCGACGACGATGACTCGAGTGACACGAGCGTCCTGGTGGTGCCGCACCCGGAGCTGGTCCCTGTGGTCTTCTTCTGTATGAAACAGACCACGTGTCCACGAAGTCTCTGCATCAGGATGGTCTGCAGCCCATATCCTTCCACCGCACCAGGTCTGAAGCTCAGGTCTGAGGTCTAAGGTCTGAAACACAGAGCTCAGGTCTGAGGTCTGAGCTGCTACAGTAGGTCTAAGGTCTGTGGTCTGAAGTCTAAGATTTGAGGTCTGTGGTCTATGGTCTAAGGTCTGAGGTCTAAGGTCTAAGGTCTAAGGTCTAAGGTCTGAGGTCTGAGGTCTGTGGTCGTCTGAGGTCTGAGGTCTGTGGTCTGAGGTCTAATGTCTGTGGTCTGAGGTCTGTGGTCTAAAGTCTGAGATCTGAGGTCTCAGGTCTGTGGTGTGAGGTCTGAGGTCTAAGGTCTGAGGTCTAAGATATAAGGTCTAAGCTCTGTGGTCTAAGGTCTGTGGTCTGTGGTCTGAGGTCTGTGGTCTAATATCTGTGGTCTAAGGTCTGTGGTCTCAGGTCTGTGGTGTGAGGTCTGAGGTCTGAGGTCTAAGGTCTGAGGTCTAAGGTCTGTGGTCTGTGATCTGTGGTCTAAGGCCTGATGTCTAAGGTCTGAGGTCTAAGATCTGAGGTCTAAGGTCTGTGGTGTGAGGTCTGAGGTCGAAGGTCTCAGGTCTGTGGTGTGAGGTCTGAGGTCGAAGGTCTCAGGTCTGTGGTCTGAGGTCTCAGGTCTAAGGTCTGAGGTTTGAGGTCTAAGGTCTGAGGTTTGAGGTCTCAGGTCTAAGGTCTCAGGTCTAAAGTGTGAGGTCTGTGGTCTAAGGTCTGTGGTCTGTGATCTGTGGTCTAAGGTCTGATGTCTAAGGTCTGAGGTCTAAGATCTGAGGTCTAAGGTCTGTGGTGTGAGGTCTGAGGTCTGTGGTCTAAGGTCGAAGATCTGAGGTGTGAGGTCTGAGGTCGAAGGTCTCAGGTCTGTGGTCTGAGGTCTGAGGTCTAAGGTCTAAGGTCTGAGGTCTGAGGTCTGAGGTCTAAGGTCTGAGGTCTGGTCTGGTCTAAGGTCTAAGGTCTGTGGTCTGAGGTCTGTGGTCTAAGGTCTGAGGTCTGTGGTCTAAGGTCTGTGGTCTGAGGTCTAAGGTCTCAGGTCTGTGGTCTGAGGTCTGTGTCTAAGGTCTAAGGTCTGAGGTCTAAGGTCTGAGGTCTAAGGTCTGAGGTCTAAGGTCTGAGGTCTGTGGTCTGAACATTAGATGTTATAAATCTTCTGTTTGAGTTTGAGTTGTTCAGTTTTCTGTGTTAAACTCAAACATTTCAGGTAAAAGTCTTGTGTTTTTTTGAACTTGTTTGTTTCTTTTAGATTGTTGCGGCTTGTTTTTTCCTAGGGTCTGTTCAGATTGGCGCGTCAAAGCGTCCAATTCACACAAAATTAACTTTTTACTGCAAGTTTTTTTTTTTAATCTAACTTGATAAAGCGAATAATAATTCATATTTTATTTGTGGTTTTAAGGATCTTAGCTGGAATGAAGTCTGATGGTTCTTTCTAACGTGTTTAAACCTGCACATATTTCAATTATTCTCAGTTTTGAGCTTCAGTCTTCGGCCGTCGATCGTCCCTCTGCTTTGTCTGTGTTTACATTTGTGGCTCTTGATGAAAACAGTTCCTGGTTTAGGACGTCCTGTGTTTTTGCGGCGCATCTTCAGGTGCATTCAACACGGCGCGTCTTGAGTGTTCAGGTGCCACAAGTTGAAAATGATGAACTTTTGACGTCGGACGCCCCACGCGACCAATCAGGGACGAGTATTCAGTGACGTAGTGACGTTATTATCCGGAAGAAGGAAGAGAAAGAACCTATGGATCTATTAAAATAACTGGAGGTGTTGTTGCTTGTATCTGCCTCCAGCTGTTGTAGTGACTCACTGGTTCTACAGCGGAAAAAATCCCCTGGGCCGAGTGAGAATTTTTCTCGTAGCGGCAATGAGTGCGTTTACATGCACAATCGATTATGATCGGGTTTTTGAGTATCCCGTTTCTTCATGGTGCATGTAAACGGTTCAGTAACCCGGTTATGGCAGTGTCCCGGTTATTAGAAACCGAGTTACTGTAGCTGGTTTATTCCGATAGTAACCGGGGATACTTGTGGCATGTAAACGCAGTTATCCCGGTTACTGCAACATAAAGTTGAGTCGCATGCGTCCAAAAGACACTTTCCAGCCTTTCACCACAACAGTAACGACATAAATAAATTGACCAACATAAATAAAGTGACCAAACGAGTGAAATGACTGTAAAATAAAGAGCTGCGCTAAACCTGCACACGTACAATCTGCACGTACACTGCACTGTACACCTGCACTCGTGTGACGCTGAAAAGCTAAAACATGAACTATCTCCTATACAACACACACACAGAACAGACTCACCATCATCAGCACCTCTTCTGTCACAGAAATAACACACATAATCCACAGAGTCGTGTCATTTAGTCCAAAAGAAACTGAATCACATCAGCGGCACAAGGAGCGAGTTGTTTTTATCGCCGCTAACAGTTTATGCTAATTAGCCAAACGGTCTTAAGTTTCGTTTCTGTAAAACGTAAACAAATGTGATCAGAGCTGAATGATCTGATCAAACGGGCTGATGTGTCTCTATAGTGTTTATGGTTTATATGTTGTAAAGTTGAGTTTATTTATGCAGAAGATTTTAATGAAGAATCTGCACAGTGGATTGTGGGAGATCTCGTAGCTCCTTAGCTTCTTATGCTAAAGGAGCTCACGGTTTGTATTTTTCCTGGTTTATGAAATTGATTTAAGTTAATTTTTGCGCCTGCGCATTTGTAAGATTATGTCAAGAAACCAGGATACTCCATTTGATCATGTACACGTGGATATGAGTGTCTCGGTTTCTCAGTGCTCATGTAAACACAGTAACACGAACACTGACAGAACCAGGATATGGACAATAACCGGGACACTGATGTACATGTGACGCACTCAATGTAAACACAAACTGCTCGTGTTCGACTGACAGGGACCTACAACTTTCAAAAATGTCGGATTTTGTGGCCTTTTTTTTAACCTGTTTTTAGATCATAAACTTTTTCTCAGCTCAAAACCCTTCATTTGTCTTAAAAACGCTTCATAATCATTTGCTTCGGCTTCGCTCTGGCTCCTCTCACTCTGATTGGTCAAAGCGATCACGTGATACACGAGCCCGTGCTCCGTTTGTGCGTTCATGTACATTGGTGTGTGCGGGAGAAAAGACTCCACCCCACAGCCACCGGAAGAACCTCCCCGGGCTAAAGGCAAATCATGCACCACTGAGCTCGACCCGTTGACTTGAACTCCATTTTGGAACCTGGGGACTCGCGGGAACCACAGACATTAGTGGATTATAAATATAAAAACACTGCAACCGTCAAGTTGATTTCCTCCTCTAAAACACTGAAGTGTCTCTCAGTCTGGTCCATCGTTCTGGGAAAAGACCAGAAATGTCGCTTGTCACTTGACGAGCCTCAAGTATTTGGTGTTTAAAAGATGCTCCTTGACACTCCAGTCTGAACGGACCTTTTGGCTACGTTCAGACTGCAGGGTTTAACGCTCAATTCTGATTTTTTTGTGAAATCTGATGTTTTTGCGAGGTCGTTCACATTTCCAGTTAAATGTGACTTGTGTGTGACTCCAGTGTGAACATTAAACGGTCCAAAAGTGTCCCACATGTGACACTGGAGACACGACGACGTCAACCGCAGCGAGCGTCTCTGTGTTTACACAAGTTGTCCAAACA